ACCAGCACTGACAGATAATAGTAGCGCCGGAATCATGGGAATGTGAATACTGCCAAGCAGCGGTAATAGACCATCAGTTCGAAGACGTTACAGTGAAAGCACAGCTCAGGCTTAAGGTTTGACAAATACGGAAAAATGCTACAGTCAAATTGAAAAGCAATCGTTTCCTATGATTTTTGCTGTAAAGAAATTTCATAAAATCATCTTAGGAAGTAAATACACAATGTAAATTAATCATCGTCCATTATTAAGTATATTCGGTTCTAAGAAACGGATTCCCACACATATTACAAACAGACGATAGCGTTGGTTTACGATTTTCTTGAACTATGATTTCAAGATAGCATTTCTATCGTCAAAGAAATTGGAACACGCAGATGGTTTGTCTAGATTGATATCAAAATGTAAAGAAGATTTTGACGATACTGTGATTACTTCGATAGAATCCGAGAGCGAAATTAAAAGCCAGGTGTATAACACTATTAAAGAATTGCCGGTCATGATAGACGGTATCAAGATACATTCTAACAAGAGAATCGTTGGCAGAAGGAGTATAAACGAATAGAGTCAGATATCTAACATATCTGTTTACTACTTATTTCAGCAAGACTACTTCGTTCCAAGTCACATGCAATGAAGACATAGCGATATATATATATATATATATATATATATATATATATATATATATATATATATATGTGTATATATATATATATATGTTTATATATATATATAATGTGTGTATATATATATATGTTCATATATATATGTATGTATATATATATATATGTATGTGTATATATATAATAGAAATAAAGCTATATATGTGTATATATGTATGTATCTATGTATGTATATATATATATATATGTGTATATATATGTATGTGTATATATATATATATGTATATATATATATGTATATGTATGCATGTGTATAAATGTATGTGTATATATACATGTATGTATATATATATAGATATGAGTGTATATATATGATGGTGTATATATATATATATGTGTGTGTGTGTGTGTGTGTATTATAATTCGATCTTTTTAAGATGAAGAAATGTATGTTTATTATGAATGTCATATTGGTCACTAAACTGCGTGATAATAGATGAGCTGTTTTCTTCGCGCGCACACTACGGATGTCGAGGCTTATTAAGTTTTATTCTGTGCCAAAACCTCTTAATAACGTTGACCTCTAAATAATGGCCGTGATCAGATTTATAGTTATACGTCTGGCAACTTTGAATGTACAAAGAATATGTACAATAGACACGTCTTCTCACTTTTGGCAACCAGGTGACTTGTCTTGATAAAAATGCCCTGGACTTTTAACATGTCAATTTAAGGTCATTATGTTTTCTGCTATTCGCCATTAGATTATTTTCTCATTTCATTTCTTCTCTTTTGGCTTAATATATTTTGTTTACATTATTTCATCATTGCTAGTAAGAATAAATTGTCATATGCTATAATTATTTAAACATTCATTACTGTTTATGCTTTATGATACTCATAAACAAAAAAGACACATTCTTGTGATTTCTTTCATTCACCATGCCACTTCAATTCGTGGATAATCATGGATAGACACAACTTCTCATCGTTTTTTGCTCTAATTAATGTTTGTTCTCTCATTATCTATTATTGTCCAATTTCTGTGAACCATTTACACAAGCTTTTTATTTTGGTCGCTTGATGCTTGCTCTTGCAACATTAGCTTTTAATATGCCTTGTAAGATTCAAATTCCCCCAAACCTCATTGTCATTACGTACCGCAGGAATTTCAATTCTTTCTAATTCTATCATAAGGGCTTTTGTTGTTTCCATTTTCCCTCAGAATATACCCATTGTTGACACGAACCACCTATGCAATTGAGAGCATCTATTTGTAGAATGCCGTTTAATTTGGTCCGAATATCTTATTTATTTGTAAGAAAATTAACCACAATTGGCAATCAGATAGGAGGATTGATATTACAATGCAATCTCTATATATTTACTTTTTCTAAAGAGTATGTTGTGTTTGTTGATACTTTGCTTAGCTTATAGAAGGCTTTTTTCGATATTTCAATGCGACTTTGTATTTCGGTTTTGCATTTTCCGTGTGCTGGCAGAACCTTTCCTAGATGTTGAAGATTCCTGAATTACAATTTTAATCTCGGCACTAGATTGGCCGTGAGGTCTCATTGCTTGATGTAACAGTAAGTTCTATGGCAACTGTTTCTTCTGACACACTTCTCACTCGTGGACGTTAGTCCCAGCTTCTTGCTTCAAAAGTTTCTATGCAACGTCAATCATTATCTTCTGCCTCAATTTATATTCTTTTTATTATTCTATCTCCTTATTAAGTGTTTTACTCATATTCACATACACTCATTAATCCTTTACACGTGAGTGGCTTTATTGCCTTTCTTGGGGCAAAATGGTTCAAAAAGTGCAAATTAAACATTGCTTATGGTGTCTCCAATCGTAGAATGCATCATTGGCTCTTCCGTCTGTTGATAACACATTTTCCTTCGTCTTACAATTGATGGTAAGGCTTTTTACTCACTTTCCTGTATTGCCTCCCGATATCTATCAAAGGTGCATTTTTAACTCAAATCAGCAAATTTTCTGTATTCTAAGGGTATTTTCCTGGTTCGTGATGCACACTTTAGCTTTTGGAAAACAACTTTTGGAATTCAAATGGGCTGGTGTAAAATATTCCATCATCTTCCCGCTATTTATACTTTTCATCTTGCATTATGTCCAGTTCAGTTTCACTAGATAACAGCTTTATATTCTGTCTTTCAGTTCATGGGGAGCGCTGTTATCCCTCTTTATATTATTAGCTTAACCTGCCACAATTAAATAATATTGGGTCACCAAATAAGAAGTGAAATCACTAAACTGTGGAATTGTATACATGACGAGCTTTGTTCCCAGAAGTTCTTTTTAACTTATCTTTTATTGTATTTTTTTTTTTACTTATTAATTGTGTATATTCTAATGTACACGAACAAAACAATGAAGGGGAAAAGTACTGGTCAATTTCAGCCTTGGGGTCTTCAAAGACAACGGATTCGGTAGAATTTTTTTTTGGTCGACGGGATCAGGATATAATTCTTGAAATAATAATCGTAGGTTCCTCTTATGAGCATTGGTTCTTGCGATGCAGGGATACCAGCAATGTTACTACGTTTGTATTAACAATTAACTTAGTTAAGGGGGAGTGATTAACTCAAATTCTCCACGACACACTATTATCTGTAAACAATCTAAGTATGGCGGGATACATTTTATGGAATATGTGGAAAGAAACAGATTGCAGAAAAGTAAGATTCATTCTGAAGACCATTATTGTAAAGAGAAAGTTCCTGTTTCAAAATGCAACATTTCACCACCAATTTCTAGATTTTGTTTGAGTGCTGAACTGTTATGCAATATTTCATTTCTCATGTGACAGTGTATTTTGGAGAATCTCTTAAGAATTAAAGAGACATGAGCGGCAGAGATATAGTTCTACATATGAATGTTGAGAATATCTTGGATAGAACATGAGAGTAACGAGGCCATATGAAGTAACATAAGAACTATATGAAATTTATACTTACAACCAGAGAAAGAATGCTGAGGTTTCTGTAATATAATGACAGGAACATATCCTAGAGTATTCAGCAGTTACAAATCTTATATTGAACTCAGGCGAAATAGAGTAATCTTGTTACAACATAGGATGTTGTAGAAAGCCCAGTGATGTTGAGTGATATGTCCCGGAAAAGGATATATTTGAACGAAGTAGCTAAGTGGTTTGGCTACTATAACCAAGTAGAATATGGTAGCAGTAATCGACTGGTACGCGTCGTAGCTCTCAGACAAAGGCTCTTGACTCTGTCTCTGTCGTACCTACATGTCCGTCGGTATTTATGACGGACACCAGCCAATCATATCCCAGTGAGGGGGAACAGAGTTGTATGCATATTCCATTATATCATTGAGCGTAAGAAAAAGGCAAGAAAATCAAATTCATGTGGGTTACAGGAAGAAAAAAAACGGTTCACCCTAGACATGAATAATTCAAGTTTGTAGTAATTGAGAAAACATCCCGCCGCAACAGTTATAGAGAAGAATCTTTTACTTCTTACTAATGAAAATATGAAGGAAATTAGGTAATATAATGGAATATGTGTACACCTGTGTCCAACCTCACCGACGGACGTGTAGGAGATTCAGAGAGCCTTAGTCTGTGAGTTAAATCTATAACGACGCCCATTGGACTACGCCATTGATCTACACTTCTTACCTGCGACTACGACGCGTACCAGTCGATTACTGCTACCGTATTCTACTTGGTTATAGTAGCCAAACCACTTAGCTACTTCGTTCAAATATATCCCTTTCCGGGACATATCATTAAGATGATTCATATTTCTGTATATAACTGATCGGTTCCCAGTTTGCAAAGATCAGGGCACGTGTGACCAAGGAATGTAGCTCGTCCAAATATATACCATGGTAATAATGACAGAGTAACAAGACGATGGCGACATTTCGTCAGTGGGAATGGGTTGTACAATGGAAAATATATCAAGATACACAATTCCGCATAGACGTTTTTAAATTCTATCAGACAGGAATCTTATAACTTAGCATATTCAGCCCAAATACGACCGCAAAACTTCTTTTTCGGTCTGATCTGACTTTTTTAAAGAGAGAATGTAGCAGATAATTACTGGATTTGTTTGGTTGATAACTTTTCGCAACATATTAAACTATAGATTATTCAATGGCTATAGGTAAATATTTTGTAAGCATTTTTATTTGATTTTTTTCTTAAGGTAATAATGTTCCTTTTTAGTGATATAGATTTTAGTAATTGACCCATAGGTAGGAAGAGAAGATGGGCATTCATATTTTCCAACTGTGTTTAGAATATGACAAAGCCAACTGGCACTAGGACTCGCCTCTGACGTTAACAATTGCAATTCCACCACCATCACATCCAAGCATACAGCATCTGGTATTTTGAAGCGATCATCCATCTAGGTACTAAACAAGATCAACGTTGCTTAACTTCGGTGATCTTACGGAAACCGGCGTTTCAACGTGATATGTACTTACTGGGGAAGTAAAATGAAACGACCATTGTCCATCAACTTTAACCGCAGAGGTCTGCGGTGTGACTGAGTTCAAATAGACATTCAAGACAACGAAACTCATTGAGAGAACATCCATCTCTCATGATAAGTGTAAGATCATGGTCTCTGTCATAATTATTTGAGAGAAGATGTTCCTACACTTACATTCAAAATTTAAAAGCGATGTACAAGTGAAACAACTTCGATATGGACTAATCTCTTTAGGCATTACAGCAAGCAGAACTGCTCCAGAAGAGCCATCTTGAGTTGGCTAAGCTTAAAAAAATATTTATGTAGTAATCTTTAAAATATTATAGATATTTTGACGAGAAACTACTTAATATTCAAAAATGCATTTCACGTGCAGTGCGAAATTTCAGATGCGAACAATGTCAGTCTTCAGCTATTGTATTTAAGGCAATGTGCAATTAAAATGTTCTCCATAAGGGTTGACACATTTTCATAGCTTTTCATTGAATTAACTAAAACATTTCATAGCGCCCTTCCCGCAAGAATTTGAGTTTGAGAGATTTATTAATTACTTAATTGCACGAGAATCGGTATTTTAACTCGAAAGAAATCAGTATTTTTCTACAGTGGCTTTTCAGAAAAAAAGCAAATCTTTATATCTTCATTTAAAAAATAGTAACGTGTCATGTTACAAATGAATATTCTATTTGCATCTGATCGATCTGAAGAAATACATTAACTTGTTTTCGATAATATGTTCTATACATACACATATACAGTATAAATTGCTAGGAGAACATTAGCAGGAAACTGAATATCTCGACTCAGTGTTGATTTTTGTATATATATATATTAGGGCCTTCAAATACTAAAATTGAAATATTTTCCAACCTGAAAATAGTCAACTTTTTGGATATTACATTCAATCTATCGAATAATACTTTTAAACCCTTCCATAAAGTTGATCAAACACCCCTATACATCAACGTCCACTCTAACCACCCTAAACATGTGATAGATCACATCCCCAAAACTGTGAATACGAGAATAATAGGCTATCCTCTAGCCAAAAAATCTTTAATGATAATAAATTTATATACAATCAGGCCCTCAAAAATAGTGGTTTTAGACAAGAATTAAACTTTAATGGAGAACTTGTAAATCAGAATAATAATAACAGAACTAAGAACAGAAAGAGGAAGGTAATATTGTTCAATCCACCATATTGAAGACTCTCTAACATTCATAGAGGAAGTTTCTTTCTGAAATTAATTGATAAACATTTCCACAGTAAACATCCACTACATAAAATTTTCAATAGGAAGACTCTAAAAATTAGTTACTCATGCGTTAGAAATATAGAGAAAATCATATCTTCCCATAATTGCAGAATACTTAGAAACTACCACAGTAATGGAACTCAATCTAGTAACCCTACCTGTAATTGTAGGAATAAAGACCATTGCGCAATCGGGGGTAAATGTAAGTATGGAAATGTAATATAAGAGGCAACTATCTTTCCCGAGGAAAATATAAACGAGAAAAAAAGATACATAGGTATCCGCCGGTAATTGGAAGCACCATCTATACAACCAAAGACGCTCATTTAGATATAGATGCCTCAGTATTCAGACTTTCTTATCCAAACACTACTGGGAACTGGTGGCTAAGGGATTAAACTCAATTTTGAAATGGGGATACCTATCAAGAGCTAGAACACTTAATAACTTCCGTGATCGGTGTGATCTGTGCATGGCGGAAGAAATCTTCATTATCAAAGATAATCGAGATGAGCTGATGAAGCTTCGTAATGAGATATTTTCTAAATGTAGACATAAAAACGATTCAAAACATGAACACCGTTTTGTAACATGTTGTCACTTATGTCAGTTCCATCTTGGTTCAATAACATCGGGCATGACATTTTAATGGAATGACTATTATATTTATTATGTTTATCTCTATATATATCATTGTGTATGTTTATGTGATGCGCTATGTATTTATATATATATATATATATATATATATATATATATACATAAATGTTACTATTTATTTTAAATTTTTAATTTATATATATATATATATATATATATATATATATATATATATATATATATATGTGTGTATGGTATGTATGTTTTATGTATGTATGTTTATATGTGTATGTATATGTGTGTGTGTGTGTGCATGTGTATATATATATATATATATATATATATATATATATATATATATGAATATGTATGTGTGTGTATGTGTATGTATGTGTATGTGTGTGTATATATATATGTATATATATATGTATATGTATGTATATATATATATGTATTTATATATGTATATGTATGTGCATATATGTGTATATGTGGGTGTACTTAGCCGTGTGTGCATGTTTGTATATATGTGTACATATGTAGGGTGTGTATATAGGTATATGTATGTGTATGTATGGATGTACATGTATGTGTATATATGTATATTTATGTATACGTATATGGATGTATGTATGTGTACATGGATAGATATATATGTAGATGGATGTATATGTAGATGTGTGTATATATGTGTGTGTATGTTTTGGTATGTATGCACTCATATATATTTGTATATGGGTGTATATGTACGTATATATATGTGTATATATAATTAGACGGATAGATATAAGGATACATTGTCTATTTGTTTAAATGGGTGTATATAATTGTATAGAAATGTAAGGTTTAGGTATATATGTTTATGTGCACGTATGCGTATGTCCGTATGTATATATGTGGCTAAATGTGTATATATATGAAGGACTGGATGCAGATGTATGTATGTGTGTATATATACATGTATGTGTGTGTATGTATTTTTTGTATATTTTTATATTCTTGGTTTATATATATATATGTGTGTGTGTGTGTATATGTGATTGTATATATGTATATATGTGTGTATGTGTGTATATGTAAGGGTGTGTAAATATATGTATGTGTATATATATATATATATATATATATATATATATATATATATATATATGTATGTATGGATGTGTATGGATGTGTATATGTGCATACACGCATATGCATGCATATGTATGTGTATGTGTGTGTGTATATATATATATATATATATATATATATACACATATATATGTGTGCATGTGTATGTATGTATATGTATGTGAAAAGTGTGTGTATATGGATATAGATGAATATGTGTATGTGTGGATATGTGAATATATTTTTATATTTTTATATCTGTGTACATTGGTATATGTATGTGTGTACGTGGGTACACGCCTATGTGTATGTATATACGGGTATATGTTATTGTGTATGTGTGTATTCGCATGTGTTTTTGAACATAGAAATATAAGTCCTTGCTGGATTAGCTAATCGTTTTGTTTATTTTTTAAATGTTTATATTTGATTCGTAACCTGTAGTCGATATTAAATTTGTCAAATTTTCTCAATTACAAAGCGGCCCTTTAAGTAAACGCAATTTTACTTTCCTTCGCCCCATCTCTCTCTCCCACTTCGTCTTTCTCTCCCTCTTATTCTAACATTAGATTGTCTATAGTGTGTGTATGTCACCACGAAATGTATCTTTATGCATTAGACATCCGACAACATTCATTTTTTCCTTACTTAAACCCCTTCCACCCACCTCTCCTAAAATTCTCTATGTTAAGGTTTGATCTCTCTCCTCCTCATACTTACACTCTCTCTAAATTGTTTTTATTTCCGGAGTTGTTTTTTCTGTTTTCTTTTTGAATTTGTAGGTCTGATGAATTGGATCGTATTTACGATTCCAATGGAATAAATTATGACCATGGAATATTAGTGTTTAAGCCTTTATTTATATATATATATATATATATATATATATATATATATATATATGTGTATATGTGTGTGTGTGTGTGTGTGTGTGTGTACAAGTATATGATTGGTGTATCTGGAATAAATTCGAATAACCAACAATTACTATTCTTAAAAAGTGGTCAATACAGTTAGAGCGAATATAATTATTTATTTAAAATTATAATATAAATATGTTATAAAATCATTACAAAATATCGGACGTTTCAACACCTCTAGTGTCTTATCAAGTGATGAAGTTGAATGTGGATTTTAGGTTCTACAATCTTCATTGAACATCCTCACTTTATATATATATATATATATATATATATATATATAGAGAGAGAGAGAGAGAGAGAGAGAGAGATAGATAGATAGATAGATAGATAGATAGATAGATAGATATTATAGCGCATTGAGTGCTAGTGTTAATAAATAGTAAACCCAGCGAATAGATAATATGGATTGTTCCACTAATTATTTAGATAGGTTTACATTTAAATTACCAAACGTCCAATTTTAAGTCAACAACTGAAGTTGTGCTAGCATTGATGATTATATATATACACACAGCAGATAAATATATATATATATATAGAGAGAGAGATAGAGGTCTGTTTTTCTAATATATATATATATATATATATATATATATATATATATTCTTTATTCTTTAATATATATATATATATTTTTGCTTTAAAATATATATATACATACATATATATATATATATATATATATATAAATATATATATATATATATATATATATATATATATATATATATATATATATATATATATATATATACAACATTTACCATTCGTTGCAGCCATATTTAAAAATGATACAGGCCTGCGCACAATATGAATTTCCTATCATTGTTTAACGAAACGCGTCTCAGTTATCTGACTACTAAACACGGTGAACATTAAAACAGACTAACCAGAAATATACACGAATGATAAATATAACCAATCTACAGGCCAACACAACAATATCTACTGTAAACTTTCTTTAAACTCAACTCAAAAACGTAGGATTTTCGAACATTTGTTTATATATGGACATATATTTTTATGGACATTTCTCTTTCTTTTATTATGAGGGATAGGCAATATATATATATATATATATATATATATATATATATATATATATATATATATATATATATATATATGAGTGTGTGTGTGTGTGTATATTTTGTGTGTATGATACATTTAAATCTCCCTCGTCTCGTTTCAACAGTCATTCACTTTTTATCGATATATCATATAAATGCTTATTAGAATCTAAAATTTTCTATGCTACATTATCAAAGAATCTGGATGCGCATTTTGACAGAAATCGTTTTCATCTGCGCAGATTTAAAAATATCAGGCATTTGCATGAAATAATCTTAAGCTATGTGTCTCACATTAATGTTCACATTGCGAGCTCGAAATTTTAAAATGTTTTATAACGCTGAATTGCTGGATAAAAAAAAGAAGATATTAATAACTACAGAGATTAGAAAAATGTCAAACAAGACTGGAAATAGCGAAAATAATCGGCAGATAGCATTGAACTGAATCAATACGTTGAAGATACTAGGCTACTCCGATACAGGTCTTTAACATAAAAGAAGTTGTAATCCAATCAGACTTGTCAAGCTATGAATATTTTTGTTATTGTTAACTTTATACAAGCCTAATTTCCATTCAAGTTATAAAATAAGGACGTCATAAGGAGGATATTCGAATAGTATGAAGATATTTCCGATAGATCTGTTGTGGCAATATGTGGCTGTCAATAAATATAATACGTCAACTACTTAATCAAGTGCCATAACATGTGGGGCTGATATATAGGATACTTTAAAAAGACTGAATAATCGCTCAGAATTGGCCAGTCGCTGATTGAATTCTTTGCTGTGGTATTATCGGTGTAAAGTCATCAAACTATGATATATCGTATTAATATTTGCAAGGAAGACGTAGAATATTGTTTAAAGAAGCCATGCACTGTCAGAAAGACGATGTTTATTTAAGGTAATTTACGACTATGAAGAAATAATGAATAATCGAATAAACGGGGTTTTAAAACACGCTTGATAGAGTGTCTGTCGTGTTCTCTTGACCTTAAACAGACTTAAATTTTGTGCAATATTCTGAAGAAGGTTTCTAATTTTAAGCGGGAATTGACAAGCAAATGATAACATTGACATTCTAATCTGGATCTTGCGCAGTCTGTCTCGCATGAAACAAACATAATAAGCCACAATATCAATTGATAAAACTAATTCCAGAATTATAGAGCCTACATTTCTCATTAATGTTTGTATGTTTCGCAATCAAATTTTTTTTCAATTTGTAGTTCGAAATATTTCTCTCTGTTTCGGGTTGTGAGTTATAATTTTTAATTACAAATTTACATTTCTTGCATTTTCATTAATTTGACTTGCATTAACATCCACGCAATATCCATATTTTAAGGGATGTATCCTATGTTTTAACTAGTGTAAACTATGGTTTAAATAGATGGACTGACTGGATCATATAGCCTTGGTTTGCAATCAGTCTACCACAGTTAGTTAAGGAAAAATACTACTCGAATTTTTCTTCCTAGTTAGTCATGAATCGAAACGAGGCATCAGAAGGAAGTTTTCCTTAGATTATATATATATATATATATATATATATATATATATATATATATATATATATGTGTGTGTGTGTGTGTGTGTGTGTGTGTGTGTGTGTGTGTGTGTGCATCAATGGGGGGAAATAAATATTTTTACACTTGAAAAATTGTATTTTTATAAATGTAAAAGCCTTAAATAAAACAAATCTCGGCACATTTTATGTATAAAGACACATACTATTGAAAAATAATACTAAACTAAATTAATTCTTATTCTAACAGAAATTAATGCATTTTTTTTATTTCTAACTGATGAAAAAAGTATTCGTACAAATCAATTTTTAGAATAAAATAATCAATTAATTATAAAAAAAAGTATATTCTAGAATGTTCCAGTAATTTTATTAGTAATTATATTAAAGCTATTAGCCATTATTAGAGCATTCTGCAATTTCTAGTCTTACGAGAAGGTTCTAATAATGCCTAAGGGTAAAGAATTGACTATTTCACAAAAAACAACACATTTTGTCTCTTTGGAAAGTTTGGAACAGTTAAAGAACGATTTCTAACAACCTGGATATACCTTTTACTCCAATTGCTTCGTTCATTGCAAGGTTGAAAATTCGTAACAGCGTCGAAAACCAAAGACGAATAGGTGCTCCGAGGAAGATTTCTCTAAGATCAGCAAGGATATTAGGACGTCAGATCCAACGAAATCCACAGGTTACCCGAGAAGAGCTGCAGGAACATCTGCGTGCATTAAGGATTAAAGTAACCAAGCGTATAATAAGTAATGAACTACAAAAAAACAGTCTGAAATCACGCATTCCAAGGAAGACTCCACTCCTCTTGAAACGGCACAGAGATTCTAGGCTAAAATTTGTTAGAGAGCATAAGAATAAAGAATATTCATTTTGGGAAAAAGTACTATGGACAGATGAAACTAAAATATAGTTGTTTGGTCATAATTATCGAAATCGTGTGGAGGAAGGACGGTGAAGCCTACTTACCAAAGAACACGTTGCCAACTGTAAAGTTTGGTGGTGGCAGTATCATGATCTGGGGCTGTTTTTCTGCAAAAGGTGTTGGCAGAATATCAATAATAGATGGCAAGATGAATACCGAAAGATACCAGAAAATCCTGCAAGAAAATTTAATGCGTTCTGTTGAGAAACTTCGGCTACCTCCTGAGTGGGTTTTCCAACTGGATAATGATCCTAAGCATACCACTAGATCTACAAGGAAATGGTTAGCTGAAAGTAATGTTGATGTCTTGCAATGGCCAAGTCAGTCCCCAGACTTGAACCCAATCGAGAATTTATGGTGATATTAGAGAATTCAAATTAGGAAAAGAGCACAAACAAATATCAAGAATTTGAAGACAATATGCCAAAAACAATGGGACAAAATAGCACCCAATGTGTGCAAATCATTAATTTAGACGTACAGGAATAGACTGGTAGCTGTTGAACTCAATAAAGGATATTCCACAAAGTATTAAATTAAGTTAATATGCTTTTCTTTGTTTTGTACGAATACTTTTGTCATCAGTTAAAATGAAAAAAATGCTTTCATTTCCGTTAAATTAAGAATTAATTAAATCTATTACTATTTTGTAATAAAATGTATCGTTACACATAAAATGTATCAAAATTTGTTTTAGTTAAGGCTTTTACATTTATAAAATACAATTTTTCATGTGTACGAATATTTATTTCCCCCACTGTATATATATATATATATATATATAAACGAAAAAAGTATTTGTTAACCTGAACTGCTGGCTTATCATATCCCACAGCGCATGTGGACAATCATTCCTTACGTATTTGCCTCTTTACTTAATTCTAATTCAAAGTTGAGACTTTTCTTGTAGATCATGAGATGCTCCTTTTTACAATATTTTTTTCTGGTTGAACAGATCCATAACATTTCCTCATCCATTAACATAATTTCTTTTCATAACTCCAAAAGTGTCTTATACTTATGGCGACGGTCTACGTCCCTCAATAGGAGGTACATGAAATAAACATCTTTCCGTCGTCATCAAATTGCCAAGTGCATGTGAGTTTTTGTAGCCTGACTTCAACTCTTAGTCTAGTTCATTAAAAGCTTTGTTTCCTGAAATTGGATAAATAGTAATTGTTTAGTTCAATCAATGGTCCTGGATTTAGCTGGAATCGAATGAAACAAGGCGAGCAATAAGTGAGCAATACTAAAGGAATAAGAACTAGACGACATATCCCTTGACATTGGCAGTGGAACGAGAACAATCTAACCTCGAAGATTAAATAAATTTTTCAGTACGAAGTCCCTGTAAATTACCCGGACAGCCCTGATGAAGACCGGTGGGCATAACGACGTTGTGATAAATGCAACAGAAATTGAAGAAAATAGACCGCATGTCAACAATGCAAATAAGTCTTATCTCAGATTCTACAACCTCAAGTTAACGATAAAATTGTTGCTTTGCACTTTAAACTTGTTAATAAGTGTTATAATTATATACCTGCGTGCTTATATATGCGTCTATCTATGTGTGGAGGCTCTTTAAGAATTTCTGATACATTCTTTGTATGAGGCCAGTTAAAACATAACAACGTAACCCGAGGATAATGAAGGAAGTTACCGATCAAAGAGTTGAACTAAACAGAAAACAAAGCAAAAAAACAAAACGGAAGCTATTTTCAACGTTCTGAATGCTAACATTATTCTCAGTAAACACTTCACAAACATACCCTAGAACTTATTCGGATTGTTATTGAAAAAGATATATTTATTTGAAATTTGTAAATCTTCAACAAACATTTGAGATATTGTTTTGCAGAGCAGATAACGTAATTAATTACAGTGAAACGGGCGAACGATTACAAAAAGGCAATTAATTTTCACTTGTTGCCATCATATGATATGTTCATTTTTCAATTAATCTACGATGATTCAGAATCCCCAGCTCTGGCATTTTATTTGAGTTGATCAATGACATTGCATCTCGTGACGATGTTTTTCATTTAAAACATGTTTTTTCAGATTTTGATAGAAGGCTTTAAAATTTCATGGTTAAGAATGATTAATTACCATTTACAGTTCATTAGCATTGGATTTTGATATTTTTACAGAGTCAATATTGATTTCAAAGAAGATTAACATATTTATTGTGCTAGTTTTGTTTTCCTAATTTGTAAGATGCCTTATTTTTAGATTTGATTAAATGATTTTTCAAAGTATTATATGAAACTATAAGGGAATATTACGATTAAAGTTGCTTCAAATTGAACCAGTGAGTCAAGTCCGTATGGCATCGAATGCTAGAAAATCTTCTCACAGATGATGTTGGGGGATCAAGTTACGACACAAGCTAGGATTTTCTTCATTTCTCTCTCTCTCTCTCTCTCTCTCTCTTTCTCCCTCCTCCACCTCTCTCTCACACACTTAATCACTCATTCTGATAGTGAATGGTGGAAAATCTCGAAGTTTGATTTTGGGGATCTAGTTTCGGGGCAGATTAGAGTTTTCTTGGTATCTCTCTCTCTCTCTCTCTCTCAGTAATTTCTGGAAAATCTCACGGATAACGTTAGGGATCACGTTTCGAACGAAGCTGTGTGTTTCTTCATTTTCTCTCATTCTATCTCTCTCTCTCTATCACTCACTTCCTCTCTCTCTCTCTCTCTCTGTAATTTCTGGAAAATCTCCTCACGGATGACGTTAGGGATCACGTTTCGAACGAGGCTGTGTGTTTCTTCATTTTCTCTCATTCTATCTCTCTCTCTCTATCACTCACTTCCTCTCTCTCTCTCTCTCTCTCTCTCTGGCAGTGAATGCTGGACAGATTTTCTCACAGATTTTTTCTCACTGCCTCTGACTCTCTCTGTCTGTTTCTCTTTCATGGAATGCTGGATAATCTCCTCACAGATGAAGTTTTGTGATCAAGTTTCGGATCATTTGTCGCACTCTCTCTTTCTCTTTGTCTCTCTCTCTCTCTCTCTATCTCTCTGGCAGTGAATTTTGGACAATTTCTACAGAGATGAAGTTGGGGATCCGGTTCCAGATCAAGTTGAGGTTTTCTTTATTTTTTTCTTCATTTCTAAATGTCCCCCCTCTCTCAAGCAGTCAATGCTGCACATTCCTCTCAGAGTTGAAGTCGGAGATTAATTTCTGGATGAAAATGGTGTCATTCTTTTTTTTCTCTTCCTTTCTGTAACTCACTCTCTTTCCCTTTCCTTCTGACAGTGAATATGTGATAATCCCTTCACAGATGAAGAAGAGACTTGAAGTAAAAGAAATTTGGTTCTACAGAAGGATGCTGAGAATACCATTGAACGAACATTTGAGAACGATTAAGTTTCAGAGAAAAAGAAAACTATGTGAACGTACAATATCAGCAAGAAAATTTTGAAATTTCTAGGCCATATAATGAAGAAAAAGGTTCTGAGAAATTTGATCCACGCAGGACATATTAAGGGCAAAAAGACAGTGGAAAGCTGCAAATAATCTGCCTCACAAGATTTCGAATATGGCTGTCAGAACAGAAGAATGCACAACCTACTTAGAGAGCTTGAGTAAATGGATGGAAGAAACAAGTTTAGAAGAGATAATAAAAATACAAAATTTATTAAGAGCTTCAAAAGTTTGTAAATTGTGCAGTCCATGGTCGCTAACTTCCTGTAGGAAAACCGCAGAAAAGTTTTCCATCCCGCAAAAGGCTTTGAGAAAAACACGTATAAATTTTTATTCACCTTAGCTTCTCTATAACATTCTCGGAGAAGAAAATATCTGAAGGCGAAACCCTTAAGATGACGACGAGAAAATATCTACATAATATTTCCAAAGAACAGAAATTAACCGTTTTCTTAGAAGGAAACATTCAGTACTCATTGACCGATCCACTAGGGCTATTGTCAGGTGAAATTTATATAATCATTCAGTTAAATCGATTTCTCAGGAAAATAGGATTCTTAAGTCTAGTAATTTTTATAGCTCTTTACAATATAGATGGGTGTTTCCTTCCTACCCTTTTGTTTGAAGTCGTGCGAAACCTCAACATCTTGATTATGCCATTATTATCCAGAGGTGGATTACAACTTGAGTTTTCTTTTTTGTTGCTGTTTCATGCATTCGGTTTTCGTGATTTTCTCGACTACAATTTTCTAATAGATTTTCAGTTATTTTTTTCGGCTTACATGGCATATCCATTTTAGATTTGTCGCTAATGAGTTTCGTCAGGAGGTATTCTGACAATTATTTGGTACATGCATTAATGATTCTGTAGTCCTAAGCCACAAAGTTCAAAGAAGGGTGGGCCTCACTAAGATCTCCAGATTTCATTCGCTCGTAGCCATAATTAAGGGCAGTGAACTATAAAAGGTAGGTAATGAGTTAGAAACGCTTGTCGAATTTAAAGTGCACAGAGGAATGGGAATTAAAACTAAGCAAGTAAAGGCTGTGAGGTAGCTACTAAGTTAAATACATGGTTAAACAAGTACAAGACAAATAAATAGGAATGGCGCATGAACAAGCATGACGTAGAATAAAAAAGAGAGAAGTAGTGGAGACCCACGATCGCCCACCGCCTGTGATGATACTGCATATAAAAGATGTACGTCAATTCTATTTTAGTTCCAGCATATTTTCTTTAAAAAAAAAAAACAAATCAAAGAACACGACACATAGATAGGTAAATGGATGGTTTTGAAGTTTGAATGTATAATTGATTTTAATTTATATATATATATATATATATATGAACCATTTTCGCCCAGGAATGTATTTTGCTTAGTGGCAATGCTTTCTCGTCCAACGTCTTTGGTCTTGAATGTCTCACCGATCGATAGTTTTTTTTTTTTTTTTTTGGAGTGAGGAGTGTTAAAGTGGCCGTTAAATAATCTTTGTCATCAATATCGATTATTTAATGTCAAAGCAAACGAAAAAAGAATTTGAAGATATGATCATGACTGCAATTCTGACTTAGGCAAAGCCAGTTCTCAACCCATGTTTCGTCTATTTTCAGCTATCAATTCTAAACACCAAAAAAAAAAAAAAGGAAAAGAAAACTATAGAGAAAATATTTCTCTGCTAGAATCTAACGATTTGTGGGTCGATAACACTTATATCTACTTTTTAAATGTCTTATTGGCAATAAAATACACATCACTTAAATTTTTTTCCTGTAAATAATCTCTATATTTTTTCCCCCGTCATGTAAATTTATTCACATAATATTATTAACACATTTTTTTTTTTTTTACTTTCAAATTCTCGACATGTCTGGTCTACTTTGAAGAACTAAACTTACTTTTTCTCACTTGGTAACACTAACAAACACGACACACATGCGAGCGTGCGCGGGCACGCACACACACACACACACGCATATATATATATATATATATATATATATATATATATATATATATATATATATATATATATATATATATATATGCATATCATTCAAAAGATAAAGTGTTTCTTTTTATTTCAAATTTGTATAATAATATGAACCAAAAAGTGGCAAGATGATTAGTTTTTATAAACGATATCTATATTACGTGCCAAATTTATAGTATTACTGAAATTGAGAAGTATGTGCAGAAAGCATGTAAGCTCAAATAAAACAACTTTTTATCTACAAGAATTCGAGGCTCATGTATAGAATGCAAGTCGGTTGAAATAAAACGAATTAAGCTTAACTTGGGAAATGCCGTACTCGAAGAGGAAATTCTTATATTGATCCGTTATTTCTAAGCGTAATGATTTAAAGCTATCTCTAAAACCATGAAAATATATAAAACAACGTGTCTTATTTAAAGTTTCAGCAATCTGATCAAATTCAGTATTTTGGGGGATATAAGTAGACATGCCAAAATGTGGATGTGATGAAATATAATGAAATTATAATACATTTCAAAATGTATATTTAATCTATTAAAACTGAAAACATACAACGAGCCGTCAAGATATTGACTCTGATCTCGTTTAATTACATTATACTTATTACGAGAACTACACAAAACGCCTCAATATGAAAACAATAGACTGAGCATTCGACTTCTAGAGCTTAATATCTATTTTTTCCTATAAAACTGTTGATTAAATGCTGTCAAAAATTAAAGTCTATTCTTCTTCAATTACCACATATTTTATAGTAGAATACAAAAACCTGATTTTGCGGAATACCAAATTTCCTTTCAACATAGACTCAGGATAATCTAGCTTTCAATGTGAGCTTTAATGTCTGTATTGTAAGAGTTCCTTGCCAATTTGTCAACCCAGTTGCCTCCCTTACGCTGTCTTTTGAATGTCTACGTCATAAGCACAAACAGAAAATTGTCTGAGACTGTCAGAGCAAAAGCGACCGGCGATGATTTCTAACAATATATCTGGTCTGTATGTTTTTATCAAGATATGTATAATCGGGATGCAAAAAAGCATTTTTTTTATTCAAATGTGTTCCCGCTCTATGAAGCTATTCTGTTAGTTCTAACAATGTGATCACCTACTATACAGAAGCGTCCGTTGTGTAATTAAGGAATTACTGTTATTATTCTTGTCTCAACGCATGTTGATTATAATTTTCTACTCTATGGTTATTCCTTTTTAGCTAAGACTTCAATTGAACTTTGTAGTTAAATTACATTCAATTTTGTATTCAACATTTATTAGCTAAACTTACCCTTTTTTATCACGGAAAAAGGGGAACAACTTTCTTTATACTATTGTTGATATTTGTATATCATTGTTAATACAATATTTTATTAATGTTCACTGAGCTTGATTTTTCCTTGATGTTTAAAATTTAATGTATGGATGTTGATTATCTTGAAACACGCAGCCGCATTTAATTTGATCAACCCAACAACTAATCACACCATAACAATAGGATTGAAGATAGGTATATTGATCAATCTCATTCATGCGATAACATCAAGTGTAGCCATTCATAACTATTTATGGAGCTCTTGTGATTGTCAACAATAATAATCTGAAAAAATGTGAATTGTATGACGGCTCTTCCATTTCTATATGTCCGAGGAGAGAGTTCTGTTAGAAGAAAATTTTGGACAGCGAAAACTTAGGTAACTACACAGAATTTCCTCTTGGCTTTCATATATTTTATAGTTTAACATAGAAAAAAAGAAATTTCCCCCAATATTTTAAAAATTGAATTATGTCAGAACCAGCCCATGCACTAAACAAATAATTTGCTCATGTCAGTTAAATACATCACCCCAAATTATTATAAAAAATATTTATAATGTCAAAATTAATGAATATTGAAACATTACTTGTTATTATTCTTTTATATTCTCTTTGTATTTCTGTTGTACACAAATTTACTTCCGGCTCCCATGACCTAAGTTCAGAAATGGTTTCATGACATTCTCCGCGGATCATTTATGCAATACAAAACAAAAAACTAAAATAATATATATTTTACATAGCTAAAGCTCTTCGTATTATGTGAGCTGTACATGTGATAGATTTTTTTTTGTATTTATTGAGGACATGGGCTAGCAGGTTAACCCTTGAATGAGTCTATCGAAAACTTTTTCATTTAATCTGAGAGCGACAAGTACAAATGGAATTATTGATATCCTCTTGTTCCATTTTTTTGTTTAGATTTCCAATTCAAGCCTCTTGTATTTTGATCGTTCTTTGAAGATCTTTATTAAAGATATATTACAAAACTGCAGGGATTGTCATTTCAATGGGGAATCATTTTCTGTTCATGTGATCTTTTATAACGACGTCTCTGATTCTTTAGTCTGTAGCTATTGCAAAGTCCCAGGAAATTGTTACAGGTTCTGATGTTCGTAACGGTTTCTTGCAGTTTCTTCCCGTAAAAGTTACATATGGGCCTTTCTGTCATGCCGAACTTTATATCCTGTGGGTGCTAAAACTGTGCAACCTGATACAAGACGATCAGTTCCTTCTGGTTTTATTTTAATAATTCTGAACTTCAGGTCAAAACAGTGTTTCAATATATGTGCTTCTTAATTTCC